GGAAGCCAGGTATGATGGGCCATACTGTGGTTCTGGTCCTCTGGAAACTGAAGTAGGAGGACTGAGGCTAGCCGAGGATATAAAGTAAGTTTTAGGCCGGCCTGAGCTACAATATGAAACTCTGATGCAAAACAAAACAAAACAAAAGCAAGGGTTGAGAGGGCTAGAGAGATGGCTCAGCAGTTAAGAGTATCTGTTCTGGTAGAGTATCCCAGTTTGGTTTCTAGACCTCACAAGGGACAGGTCACAACCCACATATAATTCTAGCTCCAGGGCATATGATGCTCTCTCTGAGCTCCCTGGGCAGGTATGCACATATTCACATAGATACATACACATAAATTAAAATAATTCTTGAAACCCCCACAAGGGGGTTGACTAGCACTCTTTTGAGGTCCAGGTTGGTTCCTCTCCAGTACAGTATAATCTAGGAAAGAAGGCAGACACTTGTAATCCCAGCACTTGGGAAGAAGGGGGATCAGGAATTCAAGTTGAGTCAGGACCAAAAGTCATCTTCCTCATCTACATAAAGAGTTTTGTTTTGTTTTGTTTTGACTGGGGAGGGTATGAAAATAATCGTAGACTTTGAAAGAGGAAAGGAATCCTCTCCGAACAATATGTACTGAGATTTGAACTCAAAGCCTTGATGGCCTTCACTCTATCACTGAGCTCTATTCCTCCATCCCCAGCGTTTCTTTTTGAGACAGGGCTCTCGGTTTTGCCTTAGAATTGGACATTGTACGGCATGCTATTTCCAAGCAACGTAGCTAGATTACAGGTGCTGACAATACACCACCAAGTCCAATTATTACGCTCTGTAGTCAGTGGATAATAGGGGCTGAAGAGAGGATTTGGAGGTTAAGAGAACTGGCTGCTCTCCCTGAGAGTCCAGGTTCATTCCGTTCCTAGAACCCATGTGGTGGCTCATGTGGAATTACAACCATCTACAACTCCAGTTCCAGAGGACCCAACACCCTTCTGGCCACCATGAGCATGAGGCACACATGTGGTACCCATACATACATGTAGACAAAACATACACAGAAAATAAATTTAAAAAAAAAAAAAGCTAATAGGGCTGGAGAGATGGCTCAGAGGTTAAGAGCACTGGCTGCTCTTCCAGAGGTCCTGAGTTCAATTCTCGGCAACCACATGGTGGCTCATAACCATCTGTAATGAGATCTGGTGCTCTCTTTTAGCATTCAGGGACACGTGCAGGCAGAACACTATATATATAATAAATTCAAAAAAATAAGCAAAGCCAGGCGTTGGTGGCGCACACCTCTAATTCCAGCATTCAGGAGGAAGAGGCAGGTGGATCTCTGTGAGTTTGAGGCCTGCCTGGTCTATGGAGCTAGTTCCAGGACAGGCTCCAAAACAACACAGAAACACCCTGTCTCAAAAAACAAAACAAACAAACAAATAAATAAGGGAATAGGGATGGGGAGAGATGGTTCAGTGGTTGGGAGTAGTGTCTGCTCTTCCAGAGGACCCCGGTTCAATTCCCAGCACCCATATGGTAGCTCATAACTCTAGTTCAAGAGATCCAGCACCCTCACGTAGACACATATGTAGGTAAAACAACAATGCACATAAAAATATACAATTAAAAATGAGTAAATAATAATCAGTGATTGCGGCTTGTTTCTGGATGCTCTGAATCCAGAACATAGTCTAAGACTATGAAGGTGACTACCACCCATTCCACAGAGGTGGCGGCTGGATGGCAGCAGTGACCTCTTAATTCTGCTCTTAAATCTTCTCGTTCCTCCTTTCTCTGGGCTTCTAGCAAGCTGGCACTAAGTGGGAACTGGGTGCGCCTGCCTGCACTGGGCCACTGCAGGGACCCGGGCAGTTATTTCACCTCTCCGCCCAGAAGGGGTGGGGAGAGGCTCAGTGGGTGGAATTAATTTGGGGCTCTGATTCGAAGAGGGGAAGATCAAAGAAGATCCCAGCAGGGAGGTTGTTTGAAATGTTAACAAAGCTGCTAGATGCCCAAGGAGGCTCTCAGTGGAGGACACAGGCATAGGCTGGCATCTGCTGGGGTTAGGTGAGAGGTGTTTCTCTTCCCGGGGTTTACTGGGGGAATCTGCCATTTAGCAGGATTGCATAAGATTCCAACCCTTCCAATTGGTACAAAAGCTGACAGGGGAGGGGACAGGCACAGGAGCTCCCAATCCCTTTCCAGAGTCCTGCTGAAATGAGGGACATTTCACACCTGGCCAGGAGGAGTCTGTCCTAGAGGAAGAGGAAGCCGGGCAGAGACAACACTGGTCCCTGTGGGAGGCAGAGCTAGTCTTGAGCTTTCCAAGAGTATTAAGAGTATTAGCAGAGTTAGAGGGCCCTTGGGCTGCAGCCCTCAGTCTGGTTACTGCTAGTTCCTTTCTGGGGACAGGCTGGCAACTTCCGGCTGGGTCAGGTGACTGCCTGGCTCCAGGTTGGACTTTGTGCATGGGTTACAGGGACTGCTGGGAAGTCAGGGAGCTCAGTTGAGCAAGCATGAGTCCAAGGGAAGCACTCGGCCACAGCTGGAACCCGGGCTGGCCCTTCCCAGGTTGGGTGTCCCAGAAATGTATCTGAATACTAGACCAGAGGACAAGAGGCAAGGCTGGACCATTGCTCACTGGAATACACAAGGCTGTGTATTGGAATGGGGGGGGGCAGAACATAATCCTGATTTTTCCGTGTTCTCTTCTTCCCTGTCTGAATCAGGGGCACCACTCTGTGAGATATTCCAGGGTATTCTGTCATGAGAGGAACTGGATTTATGGAGTCACTTATGGCCTTGAACTCAGAAAGGTCCTGGGTGAAAAGTCCTGGGTGAGAAAGAACATTTTGTTGTTGCCCCACCCACCTGGGTTCTCATTAAATCCAGGCCGGCCTCAACCTCTCTGAGTGGCCCAGGATGATCTTGAGTTGACCTTCCTGCTTCTATGTCCTGACTACTGAATTATACAGTACTGAGGCTGAAAACAACTCTGAACTACCAACACCGGAGCTTTCCTTCTTTTCTTTCCTTTTGTGCAGTGGTGAATCCAGGAGCTCAGACTTGGGAGACAAACACTCTGCCACTGTGCTACAAGTTCATGAAGAGCAATGATTTAATAATACAACTTTTTGTTTTGTTTTTCAAGGCAGGGCTTCTCTGTGTACCTTTGGAGCCTGTCCTGGAACTAGCTCTGTAGACCAGGCTGGGCTCGAACTCACAGAGATCTGCTTGCTTCTGCTTCCTGAGTGCTGAGATTTATTTTTATGTATATTAGTGTTTTGACTGCATGTGTGTCTGTGTGAGGATGTCAAATCCTCTGGAACTGGAATTACAGACACTTGTGAGATGCCTTGTGGGTTCTGGGAATGAACCTGGGTCCTTTGGAAAAGCAGCCAGTTCTGTGTGCTTTTAACCACTGAGCCATTTCAAGAGCAGTGAGTTGTTGCAGCCAGGCATGGTGGTGGTAGCAGTTTACATAGGTCCATCGCAAGATGATGATATGATAGTTGCACAAAGGGTCTTGTAAATTATATAGCTAAACTCTGCCACTGGGAAGGAATATTGAATGAGTTGGTACTGGGCAAAAATAATGAACACTCTTCTGACTGCTCTTTCCAAAAGGCAGAGGAAGGGCTGCAGTTGGGACTCCTAGTCCACCTTCCCCCTCCTGCTGTGAAAACAAACCAATGAAAATTCAGGGTGTCTGCCTTCATACTCTGAATGCATGCAGATCATGCCTTTCCTGAGGCCCTGCTCACCTTTGTCTGCTAGTCTCAGTACCTCTTTTGACGCCTTTCCTTTGAGAGGAAGAGATGGGGTCCGTAGGTTAAGGTTAGATTTTGATCAAAAGCACCCTGAGGGCAGAGCCCATTGCCCATTTGGGAAGGAGAGCTCAACTAGAGTGTAGGCTTGAGTAGTGTTACCAGGAAACTGAGGCCAAGCTTGGGCAGTAGGTGATCTGCTCAGGGGTCCAGGTTCACCACAAGCCTTGGGACAATCAGGAACTAAAGCAGAGGCTGCAGTCAGCTCACAATGTTAGTGACTGAGGTCCACTGCAAGCCAGGGCTGATGAGGCTGTGATCAGTTCCTGTCCCTGTCCTTATGCAGGCCAGGATCAGGAGAAAGCTGTGTGACAAGTTTCAAGCTGATAATGTTGGACAACTCTAATTGGGGGCGATCATAAGACCTTTCTGGGAACCCACCCGGGAGGTTTTTCTAGCCTTCAGGCAGAGATGAGCTTCAGGATAATGTCTTACTCCTCTTCTGTCCTAAAGGGTAATATTCCCTACCTTGCTTTCCTCATGGCTTATAGAATCAGAGCTATAAAAGGGCTTGGTCATCTGTAATAAAGCACCAGAGGCCTGCAAGGAAATGAACACAGCATTTTCCAGACTTTTAAAGCCTTTCTCTTTATCAGTTTCCCCAGGCACTCTAGTCACCTACTAGGACCCACCCTAATTTATCTTCGTTGAGCATCTCAGTGGGAAAGCCCAAGCCTTAACAAGGGTGCCCTGGGGGGGATCAAAGGCCAGTTAAGGGTAAACTGAGGGCTGATCATCTCATACTAGGTACTCAGGAATCAACAATAAGGAGCTATCAAGAACACAGAACATTGCTGGAGGCTGTGGCTGCTGTGGTCCTGAGCCAGGGGAATACCTGCTACCTGCCCACAGGCCTCAGGTGTTTAGGAAAAAGTCGTTCTTAACCGAACCGGAGACAACCGGCTTTCCTGGGGTGGTCCAAGCCCTGCTCCTTCCTGCCCTTCAGATCCTGAACTCTCTCGGTGTCCTCCGCGGGAAAGACTTTCGCAGCTCGGGGAGACCCCCCCCCCACTTCCTCTGAGGCTGGACCTGGTCCTCGGGGCTCTGTTGGCGGGGACGGGCGATTTGCCACTGCGCTGCCACCGTTCCCCCCGCCCCCTCCCCCGACGGCCGCTCCCGCCCCGCCCGCCCCGCGGCCCCGCCCGCGCTGCCCCCGCCTCCGCAGCGCTCGCTCGGCCTCCGCCGCCCAAACTTTTCTCCGGGCGCGACTCCAGCGGCGGCCGCCCCCGCGCATGGGCGCTGCGCCGTAGGGGGCCTGACCCCCGCCGCTGGGACCGCGCGCCCCCAGCCCCGCGCCATGGCGGCCCGCGCGCCCCCCGCCGCACCTGCGGCCGAGGAGCCGGGGAGCCCCGGCGGTCCCCCGCGCAGGAAGAAGTCCCGCTCCGGCCTCCGCCGCGCCTTCAGCTGGCTGCGGGGCAAACGGCGCAAGAAGAAGGCGGCCGGGGCCGAGGGCGCCGAGTCAGCCACCCCCCGGGCCAAGAAGGCGGACGACAAGGCCAAGCGGGCCAAGGGCAAAGGCCGGGGTAAGGTGGCTGGGCACCTGGCTTGAGCGCTCTGAGGGCGTGGCAGGGTGGGTCCTCTGGGGGTCGGCCGGTAAGTGCAAGGGTTGTCTCCTAGGCAGTGGTTTTGGAGGAAGTGAAAAGCCCGGGGCACTCCAACTTAGGCACCACGCCGTTCCAGGGACGTAGCCTATCCGACTTGGAGGGGTCGAGACCCCTGCTGGGACAGGGATCCCCTGACTGAAGCAGGAAGTGCTAGCTGGCTGGCCCTGCTGCTGGAGAGACGTTTCCCTCTCGCTCTCCCAGGTTCTGCCCTCTGCTGAGTCAGGGGGTCAGACTTGATTATGGCCTGAGGCCAATGGGAGAGGCAGGTGGCCTTGGGTCTTGGGGTGTCGGTTCCTTTGGGTCTTTAAGGTCATCCTACTCGAATGGAGTTTTTGCCTTCCAGGTAGATCCTGGTTCCCAGCTTCACAAAGGTTTCAGCTTGGAGTCCTTTGCCTTAGGTTGTTACCAGTGTTAGCTTTTCTCACCCCCACCCTTACCTGGGCCAAACCACAAACATCCGCCTCCAGGGGTGGTGAGATCACCATCCTGAACCAAAGGCCTCTCCTCATCACTTACCCCTTTCCCTAGTCCTGGTAGGGACCTGCTGGTGTTGACAATGGGGGAAACTGAGGTACAAGTTAAATGGAGAGGCTGTGCCTAGGCCGGGTTAGTAACGTCCAGCAGCTGTTTCCTAGTCTTTGCGGAGTTTTGGCCCATGGGTCTTCCTGGAACCTAAGGGATGGGCAGCCTGAGAAACGGGGAAGGACCTGGCCGGTCCCGTTAGGGTCCTGTACTTTTGGCCACTTATTTGACTTTTCCCTCATCCGGTTCTGTCTTCAGTTTGGTGGGGAGAGTTTTAGACTCTCCCATACTGCCCAGCTCCAGGGCTGAAGGTGAGGGAATAGCAGGGGTCAGGGCCCATCCTATCTAGGTGTGTTTACCTTTCCAGTGTCCTTTAACCACCTCTGGAGAATTAGAAGGAACTTTAGGGGTCAGGAAGAGGGTGGGAAACCTGTTGTGTGATAGCATCCGGCCTGATCTTACTTTTGGATAATGGCCCTGCTTCTCTGCGGCCCAGCCACAAATAGAAGTTAGGGTGCTGGGACTGAGATGAATGGGCCAAGCCCTGAGGGAAGGTTTGGATGTGGGGTGTTTCCAAGTGTTCTGCAGTCTCTAGAATTGGAAGGTGTCTGTCAGGGTTCCCCACTGGGAATGAGGGTGAAGTCATCCCCGTCATCTCCCTTAAGGCAGCTTGGGTCAGAACTGCAGCAGTGTGGGTTGTGGTCAGGTTGTCAGGTAGGGTGTTTCCAGGGAACCAGCCTAGAGGCAGAAGGCTGTAGTTAGTACTCCAGCCTCCTGGGGTCATGGAGTCAGTGACCTAGCCTCCTCCTGCCTTGTGTTTGGTATTGAGTGGCACTGGGCTTTCTGGGCAGCAGGTCAGTCTCACTGAGTCCACGTGCAGGGGTGACACCCTCTGCCCTGAGCTGTTGTCTTCCCAGGTCTGGAGGTGGCCCCAGGTACTTCCGAGGGCAGTCTTGTTTCTTTTTGCTCCAGCCTTCTATTGTTCCGATTGTTTCCTTGTCACCTGCCTGGCCCAACTTCTTTTCTGTTTATTAAGAGAAATAAATCCGAGCTCTCTAATCTCCACTGGCCAGGAAGGGAAGGCTGGAGGCTTAACTCTTTCAGGGAAACCGGCCATCAGGATGGAGCTTGGAGAAAGAGGGACACACAGGGGCATTTCTGGGAGGACAGGGAGGTCTCTGTGGGAGCCCATCAGGTCCATCACTTCTCAGAACCCGAGATCTGAGGGGCACAGGTCCCCCCTGCTCTACTATAAAGTGGGAGAAGGTGCTTGCAATGGAATTTTGAGCCTCACGTCTTTCCCCCAGGACTCTTGTACTTCCTCTTTCAGACTTAGAAGGAATCCGACATTGATTGATTACTCTGATACTTACATCCATTTCCTCACTAGGTCCTATTTGCAAAGCCCTGTGTGGTGGCAACACACACTCCAGCACTGGAGCTGCTGAGGCAGGAGAATAAATCTGAGGCCAGCCCAGGCTACATATCAACACTTCATCTCCGAGGGGCGGGGAGTCCCATTTGTAGATGAAAAAAACCTGAGGCTTTGTGACAGTGAATGATTGCTTTGCCCAGACTGAGATTTAAATTGAAAATCAGATGTCTCCCAAACAAACACAATTCTCCACAAGACACAGGGGTGAGGCTTGGAGATCTTATGCAGCTCACTCTACAGTTAGGGGTCAGGCAGGAGAGAGGCAAGGGAACTTGACAGAGTGGGGACAGTATCAGAGTCAGGCAAGTGACTTTATTTCTGATACAGCTACTAAGATGCATGACATTGGATGAAGAACTTCACTGTGTTGCCTCATGGGAAAGGGAAGGGGCCGTTCCCCGGACACAGCCTTGACGATCCAAGGTTCTTACAAGAGATGATATAAAGCTTACAGGAAAGACAAGGCAATGTGGAATGCAAGGGGTTGCTGGGTGCTGTTTATAAATGTAGTGACAGTGACAGGGGTGGGTTTGGAGGCCAGTGAGAACAATCCTGTTGTCCCTCTCAGCTGCCCATTCACCCTTCCATGCCTGCCCTTCCTTATCTGTAAAATTAGGGTGTTCAAGAATCTAGGGGGCTGGAGGGATGGTTCAGTGCTCTTCCAGAGGTCCTGAGATCAATTCCCAGCAACCACACCATGGCTCACAACTATCTGTAATGAGATCTTGTGTCCTCTTCTAGCCTGCAGGGATACATGCAGACATAACACAGTATATATAATAAATAAAATTTTTAAAAATCCAATTAGATAACAGATATGCAAAACTCTGTGAACTGTGGGTCATGGTTCATTGGTGGCAGGCTTTCGAAGTGGGATGCTGAGAACTTGGGTATTGGTTCAGTTCATTTTAGTCTATGTCATATTACATCTCAGACACGAATGTTGATTATTACTGATGTGGAGTCAAAGGGGAGTCTTACCTTGTCTCACATAAGAGGAAGTTGCAAACAGGAACTGGTATTTTCTGTAAAGATCACCTGAACAAGTATGGAGGGATGGAGTGTTCTGGGACTGATGCCAGGACAGGTTCAGTGGCTAGCCAGGGAAGGCTTTCTGGAGGTGGCAAACAGGAAGCCAGTCCAGGTTGAAGGGAGAAGAGAATTAACAGTCTAGTTTGCTTGGACTTGGGCTTGGCTTTTCTCTGTGTTTGGAGGTAAGCAGCTTTCATCAGTACAGGTGAAAAGTTCTCAGGATAGAAGCAAGTTGCCCAAGGGCAGCTGGACTCATTGAAAAAGAGTCTTTAGTACACAATCAGGCATTGCTCAAAGTGATGGGAATACCTGAAGCCAAATTTGGGAGTTGGAGACATGGCTCAGTGGTTAAGAACACTGGCTGTTCTTCCTGAGGTCTTGAGTTCAATTCCCAGCAACCACATGATGGCTCACAACCATCTGTAATGGGATCTGATGCTCAGGAAGACAGAACACTAATCATACATGTATGTCTTTTTTCCTTTTTCTGTTCTTTAAGGACTGGCTGCTTGGGGCTAGGGAGGTAGTGCAGTTGGTAGAGTGTTTGCCTGCCCCTGGCCCTGATCTCTGTATCCACGGTACAGAATGAACTGGGTGTGGTGGCACACACCTGTAAGCCTAGGCCTGGGGAGGAGGAAGCAGGAGGTGTCTGGAGTTCAAGGTCATTTCAGCTACACAGGGAGGTTAGGCCAGCAAGGGATACTTGAGACCCTCCCTGTCAATGGAAATGATAAATGATGTCTGTCATAGCACTGCGTGACAGTCTTCAAAGGCCATACTTTCAAAGTAATGAGTTTCTGACTGGAGAGTGCTCCCTTCCACCAGGGCTGGCTTTGGGGGAGGGGTGTGTGGCCCTCATGTCTCCTTTGGGCAGTGATAGAATTCAGGAACTCCCTCTCACTGCCAGCCCAGCAGAGGTCACCCTAGGAACTCCTTACCTTCCTTTTGGCCACAGCCTCCGTGGGGCTGTACAGAGTCTAGGATGGCGTTTTGTTTGTTTTTAAAGTAGATCCCTCACTCCAGTGGGGTCACTCGATTTTACAGCCTTCAATTTTTTTTTTTTTTTTTTTTTTTTTTTTTTTTTGGTGGCGCACACCTTTAATCCCAGCACTCCAGAGGCAGAGGCAGGTGGATCTCTGAGTTTGAGGCCAGCCTGGTCTACAGATTGAGTTTCAGGACAACCAGGACTACAGAGAAACCCTGATTCAAAAAAACCAAACAAATAGGGCTGGAGAGGGCTCAGCCTTTAAGAGCACTGACTGCTTTTCCAGAGGAGCTAGGTTCAATTCTCAGCATCCACATGGCAGCTCCCAATTGTCTGTAACTTCTGTTCCAGAGGACCGGATACCCTCACACATACAGTCAAAACATCAATGCACATAAATAAATTTTTTTGAAATTTTGAAATTTATTTTATGTATGAATATTTTGCCAGCATTTATGTATGTGCATGTATGTGCCTGGTGCCCACAGAGGTCAGAAGCCTGTGTTAGGGTGCCAGATCCCCTGGGACTGGAGTTATCAATGGTTGCGAGCCACCATGTAGGAGCTGGGAATTGAACTGGAGTACTGTAAGAGCAGCAAATACTCTAAACCACTGAGTCATCTGTTCGGTCCCCCCACCCCCCTCTTTGAGATAGTTTCATTATGTAGTTCTGGCTGATTGGAACTCACTATGTAGACTGGAGACCCAGCAGGCTGGCAATGTCACCTTTCTGTGCTGAACTATATGATTCTAAATTTTATTTCCTTTATGTATCTTATGTGTATGGCGTTTTACGTGCACATGTGTCTGTGCAGAATTTGCATGCAGTGCTTGTGACAGCCAGAAGATGTGTCAGATCTTCTGTGACTGGAGTTAGAGATGGTTGTGAGCCACTATATGGGTGCTGGGAATGGAACCTGGGTCCTCTGGAAGAGCAACCAGTGC